GATTAAATTAATTTCTACGATAAAAATATTTTAAAGGACGCCGCAAACATTATATTTATTAAATAAACAGGGGAAAAATCAATATACTAGCATTATAATCATCTTTTTCCGTGAGTTTATTTCATACCCCTTCCTAAACGAGGTAGCCCAGGTGCCTGGTTTCAACTACGTAACCAGGATGATTTCTTTAGGGGGGTTACAACTACTGGAGGGTTTCTGGGTCCCCCTCCCTCCTGGTTACGCCAATGACTCGTTTAGTGCTAGACACTCGTTGAGTGTCCAGACCGCCTAAGTGTAGTGAAATTGAAAATTCTGTTATAGTCATTTAAAAGAACGAAAAAAAAAACATAAAAAATTACTATTTAAAAGTTAGGCAAAAATTATTAACATAACCTAAAAAATTATTGAAAATTTCAATGATTTTTCCTGAGCTAAATTTTTAATACAAAAATCTGAAAAAAATCAGGCTATTTTGTTTTCGAAAGATACATCTTCATGAATTTTTTCAGATTCTTTAAAGGAAAATTGCGACCTGAAAAAAATAAAGTCGAAAAAAGCTTCTTTTTTAGATTTAAGAGGTTCCATGGGTTCTGGGAAGCCAGAAATTTTTATGAAGTCATGTTTTTATATGTTTTATTGAAAGCACAAGTCGCGGTGCTGATAAGTTTGGGGGCACTTTTGACCATCTTATCCCGCTATAGCCTTTAATTATTATTTAAACTAAATTATATGTTTAAAAAGAATAATTGTTTTTATATGAAATAACTTTAAAACGAGAAGTGTGTTGCTGTAAAACAGATGATTCAGTATTGTTATTAATCGGATGATATTTATGACTATTAAATTTTGACAATTGTTGCGAATCAAATCTTTTATTAACAAATATTCTTTTAATTTTTTACCTCTCATTTAATCTCTTCTGTATGGTATTATTATTTGTTCTCGGACGCGACTAGTTCACGTTCGAGACGCATCGCCCCACACCTTATTTTTCCCGTTGGCCCCTCCCTGACCTGGAAATCCCTAATCGCTACTTCAGAAAGTATAAAAATAGGTGATTTTCAGGTCAATCAGTCAGTCCTTCACGGGCTCTCCGAGAGCTTAGTGCTCTCGGGGCTCTGCTTTTTCTTTTAGCCTACCCTACACTCTGTGGCTGAGATTTTATTCAACTTTAAACTTGGTGTTTTATTTCGACCTATTTTGGTTATGTAAGAAATAACTTGCCTTTATCAAGGCAAGACATCGAAGACAACAAACCTGATGTTTATTTCGACAACTATCATGTAAGATATTTGTCATGTAAGAAATCTCTCGTCTTTATTAAGACGAGCCATCAGGAGACAAAACATTTTGATTTCCATACCCTGAAAATGGACAAAAGTAGAGGAGCTCACGATGATTCGGACCCTTTCCATTTACCCCGAGGTGACATATTCATGATGACTAGAAACGAATTGATAGAGAGTAGTGAATCTATGTGAAGAATCACTATTTTATGACGCTACCCATGACGACGCCATCTTGTGGTGCTAGTTCCGTCACACTCGCCTTAGCATTTTACTATAGAGAAAAAAGTAATACGACGCCAGTATAGGAGCTTCGTTTCAAAAATAGATAATCACTAATCATATTTGTGTTTGCACTATCTTTCTGCTATGTATACATTTTGATGGTTCTTATAATTTCTTGATTGTTTATTTTTGTCCTGTTTTTTACTTAATTTAATGCTTACACTTCCTGGATTCAAAAAAATAGTGATGCGCAAAACATAACAGTGCATCTAGCCAGTATCACTAGCCTCTCCTACTCAATTCCGAGTCTCACGTGGCGAAACCCCGGAAACATGTGCAACCCTGTAGAAGATTGTGGTAACCTTAAAACTTAAAAGACGTTTCTTCAACTACAGTCTTATTATTGAGCATGCCCAGACAAAGAAAAAAGAAGATAAAATTAAAGAAAAATTTTATGATTAATTAAAGTCCGTATACCGGTTATGCCCAAAAAAGTAATGATAAAAATAAACTAAATTTTATGTAGAATATCGATTTTAGGACATCAAAAAGTTGCAACCCACAAACAAACAAGTTTGCAACTAAGTTTACCACTTTTATCCTCGGGCTTGATCCTAAAACCCCCTTGTGGAGGGGTAGTATCTCAAAAAAATCGATTTATTTAGAACCTGTATGCCGTAGGCAAAAATTTTATAAATAAAAAATGTAGCTGAGATGATTTTGAATACAAATGTTAATTAGAAATGTTAATTAATGAGAATGAGAAGAATCGAGTGCCAATATGAGAACAAAAAAAAATTTGGCGTGCCACTAAAATTTTTCGACATACTAATATGGATACTATAATATATTAATAATATACGGTACAATATGTATTTCTTATGTAAATTCCACATTTTTCCGTTTAGTCAAGATAGTGGAGGTTTAAAAAATAACGTAATAAGTAAAACATAACAACAAACTTACTTTATTGTTAATAAAAATAAAATAAAAATGTTAAACAAAAAAACTTAAATATTTTCTTATTATCTAAAATTCAAATTATTAAACAGTTACTTATTTAATGTGGTATTTGAACTTGTATTTTTTTAATTAATTCATCTATATTGGGATTAATTTTGGAACTAGCCAACAGAATTAGATTTTTTAAATGTATGTCAGTTAATCGTGATCGATATTTTGATTTTATTATGTTCATAATAGAGAACATTTGCTCACAAACGTACGTTGAACCAAATCTACAACAATATCTCAGAGCTAACTCGTGTAAATTAGGAAAATTGTTTGCTGGTACAAATTTCCAAAATTCAATATAATTGGGATCAGTAACAGTTGAAATAATTTCCCTATATTTGGTTTTTAGTATAGTGTGGTTCTGTAACTCAATAATTTCGATCTGTATTTCAGCTGAGTAACAACTGATATCTTGCAGAAAAATAGAAAAAGGATTTATGAAAAGGTCAACATTCATTTTGTCTTTTTGAAAATCTTCAAACCGGGTATTGAATGAACCTAGCAAAATAGATATAAGGTTTTTAAATCTGTCATAATTTGGAGTTCTACTGACCTTGTTGGCTAATTCCTGCATTAATGTGAAATGTGTCAATTTCTGTTCTCCAAAATCGTTACAAAAAAGCATAAGTTTATTCACAAAAGAAGATATATGACCAACTAGAGTAGGAAAAATTCAATTTTTTCCCTGTAATCTTAAATTTAATAGATTTAAATGTCTCATAATATCAGTGAGAAAAGCTAAATCCCAAAGCCAATCTTTATCATTAAGTAACGAGCACTCACTGGGTAGTTCATTGTTTTCTTGCAAATATTTTAAGACGCACTCCTTCAAGTTCCAAAACCTTTCGAGTGCATTTTCTTTGGAGACCCAGCGCACACTGCAATGGAGAAGTAACTCCCCATCTTGCTCCGTTTCTTCCGCGAACAGTTCTCGAAATTGTCGTCGATTCAATGCCCGAGCTCGTTTTTTGTTAATGCAGCGTGTTACAGGGTAAACAACAGATGTTTAGGTCCTTCCACAAAGAGCTTCCTGGTGAATAATACAATGGTACTTAAAAACTTTTCTTTCCAAATAGTTTTCCAGTAATGTAACAAACCCCTTTAGTCCACCAACCATGCAAGGAGCTCCATCTGTACAAACACTATCTAATTTTGACCATTCAACTTTGTTGACTTCGATTACGTTTTTAAGCTGTTGAAAAATGTTCTCTTCTGTTGTTGTGACTAGTTGGCGCAAATCCAGAAGCTCTTCGGCATTTTCAAAATTATCATTGGTATAACGGACAAAAATACTTAACTGCGCATTTTCTGTGTTGTCACAACTTGCATCCAACGCTAAAGAAAAGAATTTGCAGGATTGTAATCCACTTATAATTTGGGAAACATCCTGGCCCTTATCATCTATACGGCGCATGACTGTATTTCGGGATAATGCAATATTATCGACCATATTTTGATCTTTAAATCTCCCACATTTTTAGCAAATATTGCCAGACTATTTTTAATTATCTCCTCTCCATCATATTTTAACCATAGTTTCCATTTCATCACTTCTCTTCTGAAACAGTGACTGTTGGCTGGCTAGGGTTTTCTTTTTTTTTTCAATAAAGTCGGCTCGCAAATGTGAACCAATAGGATATTTGTTGCTTAAGTCTTTATGCAGTTGTTTATGATGTCGTTCCAGGTTAAATTTTTTCGGAACTGCTACAGACAATCCACATATCAAACAAACAGGCTTTGAAGTATTACGATTAGTAAATAAAAATTGTTCTTCCCAAGCAGGTAGAAAATCGCAAATTGCAATATCATCTTCGTATTTTTGTTTTGAAGTCGAAGGCTTACTCGTGGACATATCGAACAAATACTTTTAAAATTTTAAAGAAACAATGCGCGATGACAAAATGTGCATATACAACGGGGCAGTTTAAAATAAAGTAAGCAAGGGTAACGCAGTCCTATTGCATATTACGACAGCTAGGATCACGTGCACCAATCGCAGCAATATCGCTCGCCAGAGGATGCAATGATGCCGCATCTATCGTAACTTCCGTAAACCTACCAAGTTTCTTCTTATTACTTTTTGTTTTTCAAGTTTTAATTTTTTTGAAAGTTTGATCAGTTTGAAAGTCCTATCAGTGACAGGACCCCTATCAGTGATAGGACTCAATCGTGCCACAGAGTGGCACGCGTGCCGCGGGTTGGCCATCCCTGACTTACACTATATATTTTTACGTGGCCTTTACTATTATTTTCATTGGATTTTCGTTTATTTTATCTTATAAACATGGAAATATAGAACTTTTGACCAAGAAGGGTCAAAAGGGTGTTGTTCTTAATTAACAGTACAAGATCATCATTAATTTTTAATATTATATTTTTTTCATTTTTTTTTTTATTTAGATAATAATATACATTTAAAAGTTCATAAAATTTTAATAAAATATAAATATAAAAATATAAAGTATTATGCATGTAGCCTATTCTATAATAAATAATTTGATATTGTCAAATGCACCTTTTAGTAGGAAACTTTACAATATAGAGGATATTTTCCCTGTATTATTTTTTATCTATACATCTTGATATTTAAACTCTACTACTCGATATAGCGTTATAATAAATATTAATTTGTATCTATTTTGATGTATAATATAGATTGTTATGTTCAACAATTTAATTTTCAACGAACTTAATATTTGTGAAGTGTAAGAGTCATTTTATTTTTAATACACTTCAAAAGATTAAAACAACGTTTATAAGATTATATAAAACATAAAACAAAGAATGACGTAACAAAAAGATACAAACTTAACAAACACAAGTATCGTTTAGCATTCTGCTAGCATCTTTCGCATGGTCCTCAGGACTTCTTTCTTCGGCCACAATTATCGGATTTGTGTACTCGTGTTGTCCTGGTTGAAGGATTGGTTTTTGGTCTTCGACAGGTTTTCCGTAGAGTGGGTTATAAAATCTCATACTAAAATAAAATGTTAAAATTAGTCGAGATATCTAAAAAGAAAAATGGCGTTGATAAAAAAACTCCCTTTTCTCACTACAAATGCAATGCATTTATGTGTATAGAGCATGTCACAGGCGTATGTCAGAACTGTAGGGATCTAAAGTAAAAGTATATCGTTTTGTGTTTTGTAAATATTTGTTACATTTATGTTTATTTAACATTTTTTAAGTATATTTGTTACGTTAAGTTTTTTATTTTTATTTTATAAGGAAAAATTAATACACATGGCATTTTTTCCAATTACCATTCAAAACATTTTTCTGTTTGGTTTAATAAAGTTTAAATTAGTTTTTTTATTAAAATGACTTTATATATTTACCTATTCTAAATTCCTACAAAAAATCCTCCATTTCTATTTATAAGACCCACCTGGTCTATGACACCAGGGCAACTAAACTTGTATGTGTGGAGAGGTTTGTAACTTTATTACTAGCGGACCAGATAAGTGGCGATATATTTTACATTACCTTTATGAATAACATTTTACTGCTCTGTTGTTTTAATCAGCACTGCTCGTGTTATCGTTTATTGGTTTTGTTTATTGGTATGTTTTACTGCAATAGTACGAGTACGGAATATTTATTTAAACAGTAAATTCATTGCATGTTAATTTTTTTTTATCTTTTCTGACATATAGTATAATGTAGGTTTACCCAATAATCAAAGTTATGCCTTTACGAGAATACATTATTTGAAAAATAAAAAGTACCATGTGTCATAATAATTGTAACCTCCTTTAATAAAACTTTACAAACATGTTTAATAATTTTCTTAAATCCACACAATCATTGAAAAATTATTCATGCTATTTAAACATATCTTTCTGTTAACGACACTGTAATCGACAAAATAGATCAAATTCAAACTTGTCATCATATTACACTTCTTTTTATCGTTCAAATTAATTGATAGTCGTAAGTTTTATGGGTGTTATTTATTAATTTAGCAAAATACATATACAGCAAAAATCCTATTTAAAACATGCGAACGGTTTTTGCAATCACAATAAATGCAGTTTTTATTCTTGTTTAGCATTAGCTTTTAAATAATTTGTATTCGATTATTTTGTCTGTCGTACAACACTTGTTCTTTTTACGGTGTAGAAGTTGTATATAAGTACCTACTTTTATTATAGTTTAGTTGCACTTTAAAGTAAAATAAGTAATTTGGAAGAAAATAAAATACAATTGAAAGTTATTTCAATTTGGAAAAAAATATTATGGGTCTATTGACATCTGTTATGGCAGTTCAGAAACGCACATGCGATGCTTGCGGTATCTCATAGAGGACATTCCGAAGAACATGAGTGAGGATGAAATAAATAAAGTAAGCAAAAGAAATCGTCGACATTCAAAAACTTTAGATTTCTACTAGTCAGTTAAACTTGCAATTAAAAATATTATATATAAAATGTCTAAAGCCAAATAACATGTAACAATTAGTGCTGTGTTACAAATAATAAAAGACAAGGAACCCTGTGATATTAGTTTACCCAAGTTTGTGGAAAGTGCTAAGACATTTAGGTTTTCGATATAAAAAGACAAATAATAGACAAGTATTTTGTGAACTCTCTTGTTTTAAAACGATGGCATTTTTTAAGAAAATACAAAAAATATAAAACATCTGATAGTCCGATGCAAGTTGTATTTTTAGATGAAACTTGGATTCTCGCTAAAGACAATATGTCAAAATCATCCTGGCAAAATGGCATCACGAAATGTTATTTTTCTAGTCGTTCGTAAACCGTCGGTAATAGTAAACGCTACATTATACTTCATGTTGGAAATGATGAGGGTTTTATTCCTGATGCTAGTTAAATTTTTTCGTTAACAAAGAATACAGGTGATTAACATGAAAATATGGATGCAAATATTTTTGAAGAATGGTTTGAAGAAAATTGGTAAAAAAATTGGACCGACCATCCATAATATATCCTACCACTTAAGGATAAAAAGTGATTTCATTCAAGCAGCTGGGCAAAAGAAGAAATAAAGTTGTGGTGGACAGAAAAGAAAATTTATCACAGTGGCATATTTTTAAAAGTCGTTTTTCTTCAAAGGTGTGGAGAGCACAAAATTCAAAAGAAAGTTACTATCCAAATAGCTTTTAAATATGGCCATGAAGTTCTTCGACTTTTACCTTACCATTGCCACTATAATGCAATTAAGTTAGTTTGGGACATAGTCAAAAATTCTTATGATAAACATGCATCCAAAACAACAGATGACGCTAACGTTCATAATTTATGAAAAGAATCGCTAGAACAAATAAAGGCAGAACAATGGTAAAATTGTATTAGACATACGGAAGACATAATCGTTCAGTCTTTTTAAACCGAGCGAATTGTAAATAAGATCCGTCGAAAATAATTCGTATAATTTTCACTATACGCAAAATAAAGACTTATAGAGACCTTGATAGACATTTGATGAGTATTGGAAATATTTCGTCCCACTTCTTTTAACACGCCATGTATATACATAATATATTCATTTTATTTGCCTTTAATACAGTAAAATCCAATATTATTACTGAACATAAAATACAGGAAATTAAATATGTTTACTTTTCAAAGGATCGGAATTAAATATTAACGCCCCACTGTTTGAGGCCCACTGATCGTATCCTAATTGCATATCGGCCGTCATACGGTAAAAGGACTTTTTATTCATTAGACAACTAAACTTGTAAGATAAGCTATGATTCATGTCCTTTTTATCTAAATGTTTATCTCTCTACAGCTGTACAAGACGATTATGACATAAAAATTTCCGAAATTAAAAATTTGAGACTTGCAATGGGTCGTATCAGTTATTAAATGAGGTTTGTACACTTACCTTATATTTAAGCCAGAATCACCTTTCCTTTTTAGAAAATAATAAAATACTGCTCCAAGGAATACCAAGAGTATTGGAATTAATATTGCTGAGGCCACTGCTCCGGAGTGTTTATCGGATGTCGTTTGTAATGGTGTAATGTGTACAGCAAACTTGTGATTATTTCCTGACTGATTATCCTTAAAAACATTATATATGAAATTACTATTTTTGTTGGGAATATGCCACAATTTAAGTTTAAAATTAGCTTATTTTAGACGTTTCGATTTACGTTTCGGAAATCTTTTTCAAAATACAAAACATTAAACAATTAAACAAATTTTGTTTGTTTTTACTTGGTAAAAATACTTCTCATAATTTTATTTTATCTGACCTATTCATGTTGACAATTCAGAGATATATTATACATTTTAAAGTAGACGACTTTAAAATGATATTGATAATATTGTTGAGTTGCGTTTCTGGGACGACTTTATAATTTTAATTTGAGAATACCTGTTTTAACTTGAGAATACATGTAATGATAATAGCAAAATTCTCCTGTTAGTGATTTAATAGTAAATCATGAGGAAAAAACAGGAACATAATTTCATGATATTATCCCGACATGGTAAGTATTTGGTCTTAGATTTATTTTACTCTTAATAAACGGCAAACTCTGATTTTATATATGTATGTTATTTAAAAACAATAAATGATGTAACCTTAATATGATTTACTAATATAATATTAATGTAATTGGGAGTACCTAATGATCTAAATATATCAAAATAATCTAAATACATACACAGAGTAATAATCTAATTATATTTTCTTCTACAAGATTTTGACGCAATATTCAAATGGTTCTCAGAATGGTTACTTTCGCTTAACATAGAAAGATGCGTAGTTTTACACATCGGCAAAAATAACCCATCACTGCTGTACTTTATTAATGGACATCCCTTAACCTTGGTAACCTCCCACAACATTCTCTGAGTTATAATTAATAGTGACTTAAATTGGTCTGATCACATAGTATCAGTATGTAAACGTACTAACTCGAAACAGTTTTTGATCCGCAAATGTTTTACACGTATATCTCTAACCTCTGTCGGTAAACTTTACTCAATATACGTTGGACCTATTCTTGAGTTTGCCGGATCAGTGTGGAATCCAGATCTCAGTCGCGATAAAATCCTACTTGAAAATGTTCAATGTAAAGCATCAAAAGACTGACATACGGCTGTGTAAGACCAAACTATGAAGATAGACTATCCATGGCTCATCTTACGATATTCGAGCAGCGACGTCTTCGAGGTGACCTAATTATACATCCGTATTTTAAAACATAATTTTGGGAACCTATACACCATATTCACTTTGAATCAAGACGAAAAATTAAGAGACGATCGATACCAATTAAAAAGGTACCAAACTACTGCAAGGTCCAGGGTGAACTTCTTGCCAAATAGAATCTTTAATATCTGAAACAATTTTGATCAAGACAACATATCGACAAATAGTGTTAACATCTTTAAAAATAAACTTGATAGCGCCTTATTTTATTTACAGCATTGTGTTTATTTTTCGGACAGCATTATTTATTTATGTTTTATCTCACAATTTAATTTTTGTATTATATACTTAATTGTTTAACTTTACTTAACTTTATAATTGGTATTAGTTTTATAAGAACATTTCTTATTTTTGTTTTTTTTTTTGCTTTTTGTGCATAATACAAGCTCGCTCCTCTTCCCTTACTTGTAATACAATAATAATAATATTAATAATAATATCTATATAGAGGATATAGAGGGTCTTCAGCGGAAAGTAAAAACACTTCTCACAAAGGCGCAAAAACATCATCTACGCAGTGCAGAAGAGAGAACAACATTGCCGAGGTATCAAGGAGGAAGAGGACTTATGGATATAGTTGAGCAATTAGATAAACAAATTGCTAATTTAAGAACTTATTTTCAGGTACAGGCTAAGACATCTACTTTACATCGAGCAATTTGCGCAGTAGATGACGCAAGTTTATGCGCAACTAAAATATATTGTTAAAGATCCTCAAGTCCAAAATGACAAATGCCGATATGGATGGCAAGCCCAAGAAACCATCCAACATCTTACCGGTGGCTGCCAGGCATTTGTCGGTACCGATTATAAAGAACGCCATGACTCAGTAGGAAAGATTATCCACCAAGAACTAGCTGACAAACTGGGACTTCTCAAAACCGACCATCTTGTTTATTATCAATATTTCCCTGACAGAATGCTTGAAAATGACAACTACAAGCTATACTGGGACCGCACTGTGCTCACAGACCAACCAGTGGCCCATAATAGACCGGATCTCATACTAGTGAATAAAATTACCAGGCAAACAACACTTATTGATGTGGCGATACCTAACACTAACAATTTGCGTGTTAAATACAACGAAAAGATCGCTAAGTATAGAGATCTGGAAATACAAATCAACAGACAATGGAGAATGGAAAGTACCCAGATAGTACCTATTGTTCTATCTACTACTGGTGTTATTTCCAAAAACCTCCTAGCGAACATAAAACAGCTGGGTCTAAATAAACATCTTTATAAGGCCATGCAGAAAGCTGTACTCCTTGCGACGTCTAGATGTGTACGAAAATTTCTGGGAGATATTCCAACATACCAAGTCACTCTTAGGGCTCGATAACACGGAAAGAGTCAAACCAGAGCTCAATCCTTTTAATACCGTAGGTATCTGGGATGAGTGAATTTTCCCCTTAGAGGGAGTGTGAGCCGTATGGCTAAATCTGGGATAATATCTATATATTGATAAGGTTTTTTGTAATGATTGTATGTGTCTTTTAATCATAGAATTTTTTATAAACTTTTGAACTTTACTTTCGTATGGATTTCGTTGGATCTAAACACCTGCTATTAAACTAAGGATGTTCTATTAGCTAGCATAACCCTTATTATTTTCTTCTCATTGATATCGGTCTTAGTTGTATGTACGCCAAGTTATTTGAACTGCTTTACGACTTTAATGTTTGCATTGTTTATTGTCAAATTTTGCATGAGTCGTTGTTCTCTTATTGTACTATACCTTGAGTTTTATCTATATTGACAGTTGAACCTATTCTTTCGCATTTGCCACAGGTTCCATATAAAGTTCACTGATTTCTTCTACGATTTGCCCCAACAAGTTGACCTAATGGAACACCACAAGTTGTTTAGATTTATTAAAGAATATATTTCTTGAGGTGGCAGACATTTTTCTTAACATTTCATATGAATGGTAAAGAAAGTCGGAAATCAACCCGTATTTTTGTTTTGGTCCTTTAGTTAGGTACTTGGAATGAATGTGTCGTTGGTTTTGTACTCGCACGTGCGCTTATTGTAACTCATGGTGGATTGAATTAATTTTACCAATTTCCTTAGTAAATAAAATTTGTCGCATCAGCAAATATAGTCTGTCTCGATTTATGTTCACATTTGTGAAAAGTCTATGAAAAGATATGGTAGATATTTATATCGGGTTCCCAGGCATTAGCTAATATTTGTTTTATGTCGGATAACTGGTCAGTGGAAGACTTCTTCTTGTTTAAGTTCCATCTTCTATCGAAGGTTGGAAATCAACATAGCTATTCAGACCCTGTCTGACTGCCGCCATAAATAGTTCTGCACTACTGCATTCAAACCATTTCCTCAAGTTCTTAGACCACAACATTCTTCGTCTTCCTACATTTCGCTTTCCTTGAACTATTCTTGTATAATAAGTTGAAATAATGAGTATTTTTGCCCTCTCATAAAATGTCCTAAGTATTTAAGTTGTCTTCTTTTGATAGTCAATATTATTTTAGCTTTACTTCCCATTCTTCTAGTAACGTCTTCGGTTGACATTATTTGAGTCCACGATATTCGAAGGATTCTTCTGTAACGCCAAGATTTAAAGGCGGCCAACTTACTGCACTGGTTTTAATTTCCATGCTTTCAAGCCATAAAGAAGAGTAGTGAATACGTAACACCAAAACATTCTTGGGAGTAGTCCCAACCTTATATTCCGATAACAAAGAAACTTTTTAAGTTAAACGAATGATGCACCTTGCTATTTCTATACGTGTCTTAATTTGTTTGGTTTGGTCTACATTTAATGTTATTCATGTTACTAAGTATTTGTAGGTATTCGCACTCTCAACTGCAGTATCCTTAACAATCAATTGGATGTTTGCATCTGCTGATTTAGTCCTGATCATGCATTAAGTTTTTTTTTGCAAATTCATCCTTAGTCCGTATTCATGATAACATTTAATAAAAGACGGCCCCGATATTATCCTATTATTTAATCTGTGAAGTGACCTTCAGTAGTAACTTTCAGAATCTCTGGTTTCTGAACCATGTCAATACTTTATAGTCCACACAGAGTAATGCTATGTCTCTGTAGCTTGTGCATCTAAGCGTGTCTCACAATTGTTTTTTTTTCCAGCCTCCTGCAATTTCTTCTATGTTCCATACGCCTGTTAGTATTTTATAAAATCTATTTATCAGTGTGTATTATCAAATTTTAAAAATATTGGCTGGTATGTTTTCCATACTTGGGGAATTATTATTCTTTCGTGCTCTAATTGATTGGACAAAAGCAAAAAAATACTCAACCCACTCAGATAAAAATAGGTACCTGAAATGTAAGAAATTCAGACTCGAAAACTTCTTCTCCTTAAGGTGCCGTGCATTATGCGTAGGCGTCCACCGTACATCGTCTTGTCAGGTGAGATGTTAAATATTCAGGATTAAATAATTATGTTTTAGCAGCATTGCAAAGCACTTCATAGCTGTGTATTCCTGTCCATTGTCGAATATTGCGCAGCCATGACATTTTTTTACATCCCAGATCTCTCCTACCCTTTACCTTCCCTTCGAGTATCAGTTGCTGAAAAGTGTATCTTTCTCCTCGTAGTATGTGCCCCAAGTATGCAGTCTTCTTACTTTTTACATAACTATCGAAAATTATATAACCTTATTAAAGAAATATAGAAGTTAAATAAAAATATACTTGGTGTTAGTGATGTACGATGCTTAGGAAATGCAGAGCTATCAATAAATAACCACAATATGTATCACACTGGAGGAGACAAAACTGATCATCGAGACGTAGTAGCGTTCATCCTAAACAACACAATTAGATACTGAGTGCTAGGTCTGATTC